TGATATCAGATTTGACCCCAACTCTACCACAGCCCGATGGTCTTTGATAATGGAGAAACTTAAACGTCAGCCACAATGTTTCACTAAATGACCATTTGATTCGTGTATAGCAGGATTTGAACACGAGATCAAATATGTCGGTAGAAAGAATCGTTTTTTTTCCCACAATGCTGTGTTGACTTTTGTTTTTTGTATTTATTGATATATTTTCTAACTTAATTTATAACTTTGAGACTAATTTTCAGATTAGTTAGGCTAGTTATTGGGAAACTAAAAACAAAACCGCCGCAAACCTAGATAGGGCGTGTAAATGAAGCTTATTCGTTTTTCTTGGTAACTAGCGAAACATCGTGGACTAATGAATAGCGGATAGGATTGATGAATCCGACAGCCGTGTTCGAATTCCAGTTAGATCCAATAAATCCATTTACCTTGGGAAAGTTATGAATCCTCTTCCTTTACTCCCAGCTATGGGTAAATAGCAGGGCAGACCTAGTTCTATAACCTTGGATGGCAATTGGTCAAACGCGGAAATAAATGGCAATCTACTGCGGGAAAAAAATTTGCCGCGTCATCGAAAGATACATGATCGTACAGAAGAAGACGAAAAGTGAGGAAATATATTTTTTGTATTTCTTCCTTTTGTTTGTCTTCTTTTACTGAAATACAAGTCGCCATTCTCAAATATTGGGGAGGGAACGATGATATCTGATTTGACCCCACCCCTACTGCAGCTCGATGGTCTGTGAAAATGGAGAAGATTTTTGTTAAAGCCAGCGACAATCTTTCACTGAATGACCATTTCATTCGAGACCCGTACTAAAATATCAGATACTTGAAATTTCTAAGCCATTTGATGATGAAAATGTGCTTGGAGACATATTGAAAGAGAAGCAGATTAAAATAGAGATAACATACCTTAAAGGCTTGTATAAATTGATGGTTAAATACGAACAGGGAGGGAGGATTAACAGGCGAAGTTTTACTTAATGCTACAGAGAAATAGGAAATTGTGGAGAGCCATGTTCGCATACATCGTGAAGTAGAATGGCACACAAAAAAGCCAGAAAATTATATAAGCATTAAGCGGATTTTTACTTAAATTCTACAAAATCATTATTTTTTAATCGTTCACCCCATGCAAGGGGATAATGACACTATAACGCGATTTGTAGGGAGTGAAAGTGAAAGTGAAAGTGAAAGAGACATGGGAGAATGGGAAGGATTAAGGAAATGAATAAAAGAACAGGGTTCAATAAGACAGAAGATGGCAATTGATGTCGGATTTACATTTTGGAACATTGTAGTTATGATGGAAGCAAGAAATCGGAAGAGAAGTCCACATGTGCGAAGTGCGTGAAAAGAAAACCGTTTCATCGAGCTAGTCCAACCATAAAACGGTGAAACCGATTTGCCAATGTAGCAGCTCGCTTAAATTCGGATAAGAGGTACTTGTTCTCATGCCTACATTTGGAGATTATCTCTGATTTTTTGTTTAGTAATCAGTTTGTCTGACGATCGCTAAAGCGTGAAACCCAGGGTCACAAACTCACATCTATCCAACCAAATATATATATATATATATATATATATATATATATATAAATGACGGGGGAAGCCATGTCACGTCAGTGTGAAAGTGACTGAAATCGATATACCTGGTCAGGATCTATTAAATTACGGCAATATAGGACTTTCGTGCCCTCAATAAAACGAAATCTCAAAAGAACGGTATTTTTTCCCATTGACATTAACTACCTTCACTCATCGGCAATGTTTATTTTTTTAATAAGCGATGATTAGCAGGGTAGTAATACCCAAACATGATGAAAGTAAATGTATATATATTTCTTTTCTTCTTGAACATTTACAGCAAAAATATTAAACAGTATTTGTTTATTAAATTGTTTATTTACAAGAATAATTTCATATTTACAACATTCTAAAAAGTCATGCTATTAATGCTAATGCAATGCAGTGTTTATCATTTACCAATTTATAAAGAAATAAATATGAAAACAGTTTCTTTTATTCATAAACATCTACTAAATTATTAAAATATATGAATCAATTGTTATGAATAATCAAGAGTGGTTTCCCCTTGTTTTGTTACTCTCCTCTTTGATAGAGGAGAGTAACAAAACTGTTTACTGGGACTATAAAAGGACACTATACGCGAACCTTGTATTCTCAGTTGAATAAAGCTTTCTTAAATCCTACACCTGCGTACTTTTGTCCTTATATCAATTATAACGAAATACTTATTATTTACAATTTTATAAAGGTTTAATCAACTTTGCAAACCATTTCAATATAATAAACAAATAGTGATTATAATTTTTGTTGTCAATTTCTCAAGAATAAAGAAAATGTATTAATTCCCTTTCATATGTTTAGATTTGATTATAATTCTAATCATCGCTTTAAAAAAAAAAAAATAAACATGATGATTGAAGGTAGTTAAAAAAACCGATATCATGTGAAAAAACTGTTCTTTGCACACGCTGTCTTGAACCAGCCGTCCTTTGCACACTATAAATCCTTATTATTTACCATATTAGGAAGTTTGTATCAATTGGCAATAAATTAATATTGTTTATTGTTTCTTCAAAAAAAATGATAAGAATTGGAATAAAACTTAAACAAATGACGAAAGTGAAATTATACATGTACAATTCATCTACCTTCACTTTTTGGCAATGTTTATTGTTTTAAAAAGTGATGATTAGAATTGGAATAAAACCTAAACATATGATGAAAGTGAATTTATACATGTACAATTCATCTACCTTGACTCTTTGGCAATGTTTATTGTTTTAAAAAGTGATGATTAGAATTGGAATAAAACCTAAACATATGATGAAAGTGAATTTATACATGTATAATTCATCTACCTTCACTCTTTGGCAATGTTTATTGTTTTAAAAAGTGATGATTAGAATTGGAATAAAACCTAAACAAATGATGAAAGTGAATTTATACATGTATAATTCATCTACCTACACTTTTCGGCAATGTTTATTGTTTTAAAAAGCGATGATTAGAATTGGAATAAAACCTAAACATATGATGAAAGTGAATTTATACATGTATAATTCATCTACCTTCACTTTTCGGCAATGTTTATTGTTTTAAAAAGCGATGATTAGAATTGGAATAAAACCTAAACAGATGATGAAAGTGAATTTATACATGTATAATTCATCTACCTACACTTTTCGGCAATGTTTATTGTTTTAAAAAGCGATGATTAGAATTGGAATAATATCTAAACATATGATGAAAGTGAATTTATATATGTATAATTCATCTACCTACACTTTTCGGCAATGTTTATTGTTTTAAAAAGCGATGATTAGAATTGGAATAAAACCTAAACATATGATGAAAGTGAATTTATACATGTATAATTCATCTACCTTCACTCTTTGGCAATGTTTATTGTTTTAAAAAGTGATGATTAGAATTGGAATAAAACCTAAACATATGATGAAAGTGAATTTATACATGTATAATTCATCTACCTTCACTCTTTGGCAATGTTTATTGTTTTAAAAAGCGATGATTAGAATTGGAATAAAACCTAAACATATGATGAAAGTGAATTTATACATGTATAATTCATCTACCTACACTTTTCGGCAATGTTTATTGTTTTAAAAAGCGATGATTAGAATTGGAATAATATCTAAACATATGATGAAAGTGAATTTATACATGTATAATTCATCTACCTTCACTTTTCGGCAATGTTTATTGTTTTAAAAAGCATTGATTAAAATTGGAATAAAAACTAAACATGAAACTGAATTTATAATAATTTTTGATACTTGAGAATTTACAATTAAATATTAAACTATATTTATTTATCTGATTGTTAAATTACACGAATAATTTTATATTTATAATATTCTAAAAACAAATACAATTAAAACTAATGCAATGCAATATTTATCATTTAACAATTTATAAAGAAATAAATATGAAAACAGTTTTTAGTTGTAAATTTATAAACAGTTACTAAATTATTACAATATACCAATCAACTATAATAATTCCTTCTTATTTACTATTTTATAAAGTTCTAATCAATTAGCAATTAGCCGATGTTTTGCCAACAATTTCTATATAATAAACAAATAGAGTTTATTATTTTTGTTTTCAATTCTCAAAAAAAAAAAAAAAAAATCAAAGAATATGTGTAAATTTACTTTTCACTTTTATATGTTTAGGTTTGATTATAATTCTAATCGCTTTTTAAAACAGTAAACATTGAGTGAATGTAGTTAAAGTAATAAGCGGTGTCACAGGAAAAACCGTCCTTTTTACAAAGTATTTTTTGCAGGTAAGAAGGACTAAGTTCCCCATTATTACATAAATCTATACATGTATGAAAAATAATAATGGTGAATTCCTTCGAACTATTCGTCCATTTAAAATTAAAACACATTCTTTTCTCATGTATACGATCAGTGGTTAGAACGAGAGATATTTGGTCGAAAGACTAGAATTGAGCTTTAATTTAACAACTTCGATCAAGAGAAATAAAGCAATAAATTAATTATATGAAGGTAGATTACACGTTAAGATTGATCAATTTACAACAACCTGTCATTGAAATCAAATTGTAATTACGCAGAAGACCTGCTGGTAGAGAAAAATTCAGAGTCGATTAATGTCTGGATGACGAGACAAAATAGAAGAAAAGTGTATCTTTTTCTTCTTACGTCATTTGTCTCTTTATATGGTTTAATCAAACACTGTGATTTATTATCGGCTTTCTTTAAAGTACAACTGAAATTAAGCTCCATCAAGTGGGGAATATTGAATAGGTGACCTTGGGCAGGTTAGCGTCAACCCATTCATTGACGCTAACGACATGATTAACCTGATAGTATATATATACTGAGGCGGTCTTTGCCTTCTCATAAGAGAAGACTTGCAGTCTCTGGAACCGCTTCGTTCTCTTTGGTAGTCGACAAGTAGAAAGCAAAGTCACCATGCCTAACTACACTCTCCATTACTTCAATGGCCGCGGACGTGCCGAAATCCTCCGTATGATGATGGCCATCGCTGGCGTCAAATACATGGACAAGAGATATGAATTCTCTGACTGGGACCGCTGCAGGAATGGTGAGGAATTGTTTCGTATTCGTAAAATCCATGCGTTTCTCTAAATTCTAAATGTTTTAATGTTACCATTTTCTGAAAATTATTATAAGTTCTTTAGTAACAGACGATAACTGGGCTGTTGTTGGTCGTTTGTATATTAATCCTTCGTCTCATAAGTTTCTTTTTAAATAATAGGCGTAAAAATGGGGGGGGAGGTGGTATTTATTTTGAAATATGCGCTATCACAGCTTATTCAGAGTTATATACTATTGTTAAAGTCTATCTATCTATCTATCTATCTATCTATCTATCTATCTATCTAAGCCTGTTAATCTATCTATCTATCTATCTATCTATCTATCTATCTATCTATCTATCTATCTATCTATCTATTTATCTATCTATCTATCTATTAATTGATTTAAAATATGGTTTTTCCGCTACACAGTTCTAACCATGTTTCAAAAATGGAAGGTCCAAAGAACACCGGATTATATATCTTACTGTTCTTTCTTTATATATATATATATATATAATAGACGTAGAAATGGGGGTGTATTTATTTTGAAATATGTGCTATCACAGCCTATTCAGAGTTATATACTACTGTTAAAGTCTATCTATCTATCTATCTATCTATCTATCTATCTATCTATCTATCTATCTATGCTTCTCTCAGGTATATATCAGTTTATTAATATCTATCTATCTATCTAGCTAGCTAGCTAGCTATTACATCCTCTTCATAGCCATATACAAGTGAAAATATAATATAACTTGGTATTAGTTAAATACACGCGTTTCTCTAACTTCCAAAAGAGTTTTGATGTTACCATTTTATCTATCTATCTATCAATCTATCTATCTATCTATCTATCTATCTATCTATCACAGCCTGTTCATAGCTATATACCAGTGTGTCAATATCTATCTATCTATCTATCTATCTATCTATCTATATATATATATATATATATATATAATAACGCAAATATAGATAATTATATAATACCTATTATTAATTTTTTATTGCCTCTATTTCATCTTCATTTACTGTTCAATGAACCATTTTCAGCCATTATTAACTTTTGACTAGAATTTAATTTCATCTTCATTTTTATTAGATAAAGCATTGCTATTATTCTTTGAAGTTCATATTGCTTATCTAAAATCTGGAGCGATTAACCGGTTATTTATGAAGGAAAATGTATATGGCCCCCTTGACCTGATTGAAAACTTGTGATACATGCTGTCTCTTCTCGAGACTGTGGTCTGGGTAAACCCGCTATAAATCGTAACTATCACTTACTAATAATGATTTCAGACTTGTATATATTCGAAGAATTGTTCTCAAATTGGTTGATAAAGAATCGCTGGTTGACAGTCTCTTCGAGAAGGTGGCGTAGTCGGTTATAGGAGTTAATTAGAAATGGCTTAATGTCTTCTAGTGATGGTGGTTCAATCCCTGAATCAGGCAGTGTAACCCCGATTCAGAAAGGAAATATGAACAATAACCGGTATCAAAATGATACTCGTAATTTAAAACCTCGAGATTAATTTCGGTAAGAAATAGTGTCTGTAAAATTAATCGGCTCTTTATTTCAATCAATTTACCCCTGATGGTGAACACAGGGTTAATGGTCCAAATGTTGTCTATAATAATACCTTTGTCATAATATCAAGCTAAATCCTCGAGATTATTTCGGGAAGAAATACCGTCTTTAACATTATTCAGCTCTTTAATGTAATCAATAGATTTCTGATGAAGACTAGAAGCTACTTAGTCGAAACGTAGTGTATATAATAACATATCTGTCATACTCGAAAGCTAAATTCTCGAAATTTATTTCGGGAAGAAATACCGTCTCTAACATTATTCAGCTCTTTATTGTAATCAATAGATTTCTGATGAAGACCAGAAGCTACTTAGTCGAAACTTAGTTTATATAATAATATATTTGTCATACTCGAAAGCGGGATTCTCGCTATTTTTTCTTGAAGAAATACTGTCTTTAATATTAATCTGCTCTTTATTGCAAAGAATGGAACTCTGTAGATGACCACGAGGTTCTTAGTCGAAGTAATGCGTTTATAACAAGTGAAATCCAAGAGATTTATTTCGGGGAGAAATAGTGTCTGTAATATTATTTAGCTCTTTATTGCAATCAGTGAACTCCTGATAACGACAAGAGGGTACTTGATCGAAACGTTGTCTATAATAACATAATTACCATAGACACAAGATAAATTATTGAGATTTATTTTAGGAAGAAATAGTTTCTGCCACTCTGTGAACTCCTGGCGATAATCACAAGGTTCTTGAATGTTGTGTCTATAATAACATCGTTTTCATACATTAAAGCCAGATCCTCGAGATTTATTTCGGGACGAATTAGTGTCTGCAAAATTAATCGGCTCTTTATTGCAATCAATTTACCCCTGAGGGTGACCGTAGGTTAATTGGTCGAAACGTTGTCTGTAATAATATTTTGTCATAATAGCAACTAATAGTCGAAAAAATGCGTTTATAATAACATTTTCGTAATATTCGCAAGCTTTAGATTTATTTCGGAAAGACATAGTGTCTGTAACATTATTTAGTACTTTAATGCAATCAGTGGACTCCTGATAATGACAAGAGGGTACTTGATAGAAACGTTGTCTATAATAACATGTCATCGACGCAAGGTAAATTCTTGAGATTTATTTTAGGAAGAAATAGTTTCTGTAATTCTATTTCGCTATTTATTGCAATCACTGGACACCTGATGATGACCATCGTCGAAACACTGTGTTTATAATCTTTATCGTATTTGAAAGTTAAATCCTCGAGATTTATTTTGGGAAGAAATAGTATCTTTAATATTATTCGGCTTGAATTAAACTTTATGTTATCATTATTGATTTTTAAGTTCTATTATTAATGTGTTACCATTATGTTTTGTAAGTAAATCAGTCGATAGCATTTCATTGGTCAGTGGGAAAATATTAGGTAATTTTTGACCAATCAAAACGAGGCTGGGCGAAGGAACGGGGAGACGGGAAAAATTGTTGAAGGAAGACTGAGTCCGTTTTAAATTAGGAAGAAATTCTGGTGCTGACTACAATTAGTCAAAGGTCTAAACCCCTTCTTTATTGAAGGCATTCTCCAACGTCTACAGCTGCTGCTCGACAGCTTTTGTTTCTTGTGCTTCCCCCCTTCTGTTTATTTGCTTCCATGATAACTTCAAATATTTAGATACAATGTCAATCACCGTCTTCTATCTTTTTGAATCCCGTTCATCTTTTGTTTTTTCCCCAACCCTCCTTATACCTAGTCTTTTCTTACATTTTCACTCGTTTTAAACCCCTGGGAACGAGTAGCATTCCCCCTTTGTTTGGGGTAAAATGATTAAAAGAATCCCCAGTGTTAACGGTCATCCACGCCTGATGACATGATCAAACAGGAATAAGTCCCACTAATAAGTGTGAGAAGGCCTTGAATTTGGGTTTAGATAAATAATTTTTAATTCTGTTACACTATTTCCACCATGTATCTCTCCATTACTTACTGTTTCCTGTGAGTAAATTGGGCTTGTCGGGTTAGATCTCCGCTAAGACTTAAACATCACGTTTTTGTTAGTGATAACGCCATCGACATTTTCGCAGATCTTACAGTATAAAACTGACGCTATAAATGTTGGCATAACGACACTGAGCTAGGCGGAGAATAACCAGACCCCATTAGCTGTATATGGCCAAATTAGTATCTTGTGTGGCTTCCATATTGGATTTTTTAAAAAAACACAAAATCATGGCCCTCCACATTTTCCTCTCCCTTGTAGCTCTTAATAAGTTTTGTCTTTTTGGTATTTCTCCCAAAACCCTGTTTCGTCACCTTTTTGCTCAAGCTCAGCAAATATGTTACGCACTGATTTCTTCTGTTCCACATTCCCTCTATCCGTCCTGTGAGTATTAAATTTTCCAAGCCCTCTTTTCTCATCATGTGCCTTAGAAATCTCAACTGTTTCTTACTGATGTTAAGTATAAGTTACCTCTTTGTTTCCATTCTCTCTAAAACCTCGTCGTTGCTCACATGTTCGGCTCATGACATCCTCGCCATCCTTCTGTAGCACCATTCTTCTGTTGCTTCGAGCCCATTCATCTTTGAGACGATTGTCCAGCATTCGCTGCTATAAAGGACGACAGATATCATGCAACAGTTCGATACTCTTTCAACGAAATTTTCCTCTCTCTTAATACTCTGCTTAGCTTTCGAAATCCATCTTTGGCCATGTCAATATATCATCAAATCTCAGTGTTGTACTTTCTGTCCTCTGTTAGAACACTTGCAATATATTTAAATTTCTGTACATGCTTGATTTTAGTATCCCCAATTTGTAATTTGCGTTCTGGGCTCACCTTTTTGCTGATGACCAACCATTCTGTTTTCTTTTAGTTTCATTTCAAAAGTGATTCGTTACTTAAAACACTTAGGAAATTATCTACGGTAGTGAATAATCAGCGATGATTAACAATACAAACTAAAATACTTTTGAATTTCGAATATGTCTTAACCCACTAGCTGTTTTCCTTTTAGTTATATTACCCCAGGAAAGGCAATAAAGTCGCTAAGACACAAAGAGTTACTGAGTGTGGAAGAATAAGAATAAAAAGAGAAACAGTAGGGAGCAAGAGAATAGAAGATTAAACAAGAGAAAGATTAAACAAGATTAAACAAGAGAAGATTAAACAAGAGAAAGATTAGTATTGGATTTAAATTTTTGTACATGAACAAAAAAATGTTAGCTGACAACTACGGTTACATCAAGCCAATTAAATTGTGAACTGACGAGTCCTTGTCGCCAATTTAGTTTTCTTCTTTTTTATGTAGCGTGTCCCCTGTTATGTGTTGTTTTCCTTTGTCCTTTTTGCATTCAATGTCAATGTCAATCATATTTTAAAGTCATCTTCCCTCATTACGTGTTCTAGAAATTTCAACTGTCTCTTCCTGGTGTTAAATATAAGATTCCTTTTTGTTTTCACTTTATCGTTGCTCACAAAATCACTCCATGGTATCCTCAGCATCCTTCTTTAGCCAGTCTAGTACTGCGCTTAAATTCATAAAGTCTAGGTACCATAGAGAGCCAGTCATCCGAACAATTACCATGAAAGTATTTATAGAAAACGCACAGGGAAGCTATATTACGGCGGTGCGAAAATGATTGAAGCCGAGACACCAGATCAGAACCAATAATACTGAAGATTCTTCTTTGGATTTTATCAAGAATCTGTGAATATACATCAGGATCACAGGGACAGATGTGACAGCAATATTCCAATCATGGTCATGGAAGGTAGAACTCAACACCGATGACTCAACACCGTTGACTCAACACCGACGACTCAACACCGCTGATTCAGCACCGACAACTCAACACCGCTGATTTAGCACCGACGACTTAACACCGCTGATTCAGAACCGCTGACTGAGCGCCGGGATAAATCATGACCAGGAAAAGTCAACTCCAGATAAACATAACTTTTTTTTATTTATAACCGAATAAGTAATTTATTAAAGATTTAAACCATAACTAGTGAACACTTTTCTTCAAATAACGCATTTGAAAAGGGATTATGTAAAATGTAGACCTGTTTTTTTTTTAATTATTTTAATAAAACTATTTTAGAATGTCAATTTGTTTTATTAAAAAATATTAAAATAATTAAAATAAACATCTATTTTATATTCTGGATAATTCCTTTTTCAAATGTCTTATTTGAAGAAAAATATTCACTTAATAAATTATTTTATTCGGTTATTAAAAAGTTTAGTTTTTCTGGTGCTGAGTTGGCTCTATCCTGAGTTGTTCCGGCGTTGTGTCGGCGGTGTTGAGACGGCAGAATACTCAAAAAGTAGATAAATTTATTGTCGAAGATAATCTTTTTCTTGGGGCTGTGTCTCTTGGGGTCGTAGCAGATCTTGGCTTTCCAAAACCTCCTATATTTTCTAGAAAT